ATTGATGATCATTGATCACTGTATTTTGCTACCAATAACAAAAACAAATGACCTGCATCCCTTACTGCATACGTAGAAGACAAAGCCCCCTGTGTGCAGCACTTCTATCCCTTTCCTCTACATTCTGCATGTGCATGGCATCAAATCTGAGAGAACAGTATTTTCCGCAATATAGGATGCACTGAATTATAAGGAGGACTTTCAATGAATGGTCTGGTTTTTTTTATGTTTTTCATATATAAAGACACACTGGCCTATAATATGCCTGCAATATCTTCTTGCTTCCTCCACTTCCATAATATATATTGATTAATGCTGCATTCTCTCAGAGCTGCTCTATTACCATGCCCAAAAATAAAAAAAGAGAGCAAACACTGTGTCAGGGTAACTTAAAGAAAAAAGAAATTAATGGACTACATTAGACTTTTGGAAGTCTTTCGTGTTACCTTGATATAAGGAGGTAGAACATTCCCAGAGACATTAGAGAAATCCCAATATGAAAGGAAACTCCCACTGCTCCATATTCTTTGAATACTTTCTTAAGCTGCTGTGTCTTGTTGGGTTTTCCTTCCTCTGGCTCTGGTGTGTTTCCTGGGTCTTTTTCTTGGCTTGAGGTAGAGGAAGCATCCTGGAGATCCTGGAGAAATAGAAAAATGTTGGGGAGTAAAAAGGAGAATAACGTAAGCTTCCAGAATCAGGAATAAAATACAAACAAAAGGTGTATGAATTTTAAACGACTATCTTTTATGCTGTAAATATGAGTGAACAAAGCTTGGTCTTTAATGAGCCTCCCTATTAATGAAGCATGAGACTCAATGGATTAAACACATTCTGCTGCTGTCTCTGTGAGCTTTAGATAATTCACATTACTGCACACTCTGTCACACTCATTAAATGCGTCAGTCAGAATCTCCCCCACACACAAAGAGCCTCTCATTGGCACACAAACACACAAACGACTCTGCTCGTGACCTTCTGACACAAGCACCACACCATCTGCAGCCGGCTGACACATTGCTTAGGAGAGGCAGGCTGCTGCAGAGCAAGCGTGGGGCAGATAAGTGAGTCAACGTCAAACAAAAGAGCCAGAGCAACCTGCAGGCTGCTCCAGAGCACTGACACCGAGGTGGTGAGAGTTGTCATTACCAACAAGAAAGCAAACTTAATCTCCCATCTGACAAAAGTCACAGGAGTTGAATTCTATAACTCCGGTCATGCTTAAAGTAACAAAACCTGTGTGACCAGATTCAGGAAGTTAAAGAAGTGTAATGATTTGGATCAAGGATTAGACCATGCACAAAACAAATCTAAGCAAACCTCACTGGGCATAAAGATCCAATTAACTGAATTTTAACACTTATATAAACGACAAGGTAAATGTTTGGCCCTTTGAGCCAGTTATATAGATCTACCAAAATTTAAAAAATGACCAAAACTACTACATCCAGAACAGTCCTGATAATTTAGGTTTTAGGTTAAGGCCACCGTTAGGTCCCATTTGTAGTTCTGTTTTCTTTCCAAACTGATAAGTCATTTATAAACAGAAGTTTTTGCAGAAAATTATTTATATTTTGTAACAACCATCTGTTTTTCAATGTTAGGACAATATCTCCACAAGCAGGGTACAAACTGTTTTCTCTATAGATACAGGTTATAAGCCAATATGTCTCCTAAATATTTAATGTCTGTAAAATAAACCATATACTAAAACGTTTTAATCTACAAACTATTAAAAAAATTCTTACAAAAAAAAAACTGACCCAAATTATTTACAGCATGTTAAGTACATCTAAGAAACGGGATGAACAGGTCTGGATGAAATGGAAGGAGTGGATTACACAACAGGTATGAAATAGAACCACAGGTAGGAAAACACAAGGGGGTAAAAAGTTCCTGATCCCAGTTAGACACTTTATATGATCTAAACATACAGTTGTTTCCTTTACATTTATTCTCCAGTGAGTGTGAATAAAGTTTTAAACCTCATGGTTTAGAAAAGACAATGGAGGTTTATTTATATAGCAATTTCAGAGGCAAGACAGTTTAAATAGGAAAAACTGACAGAGTCAACATTACAGTGCAAGCAGATAAATACTGTCACCAAATGCTCATCCAGGGGGAGCAAGTCCTGCAAAGTAAATGACTTAATGCAATGGCTTGTTTTCCTTAAAATTAAAACTTTTAATCAATCTGACTGCATGATCTGATTGATTTGTCTCTGTAAAGTGCCCTGAGATGACATAAAATGCATTTTACAGAAAGATGAAAAGAAGTAAATAAAGCACAGCAGGTGAATACACTGCATCAAAATAAGATATTCTTATTGTAAAGGCATTAATATTTGCCTTGCACTGTTGCTATATAACTATAACTATCCTAAAATGAGTGGTACTCCTACAGCTTTTACCTTAAATGCAAATAAATCTTTAGCTTGGGTCATCAAAATATAACCTTGGTGTTTGCTGGCAAGAAGGCATCTGAACTGGTGGTTTAATACGGCAAAGTTCCCCTCTCAGTCAAGATAAAGCAGGATTCTCAGAGAAAACAGGAAATGCCTGTGTTCTATTTTCAGGCCAACACAGGCTGGGTGCTTATAGCGCTGAACCGTTGGGACTGCATTCTTGTAAAAGCTCATAAAATTCTTAAAATACATCAATGAGGTCAACGTGCTGATACAGATAAGATGTGAGATACTACTGTAGATCAAGAGATATTAATGTGCCAACATTAATTTTGATTTTTATGGGCAAATTGAGTTGGTAGATGGTGGGAGTAGAGGGACAAATGGGGGGAGGTGCATCTGTGTAATACCAGCATATTTTAAGTCCTGTCATCATTAGAGGCAGTCTGAATCATGGATAGAGAAAATATCACACCAACAGTTAAAATCTTATATTTGCGCTCTAAGGGACCAAGCTTCATCTGCCAGGGAAGCACTATCAATTAATATATTCTGAATTAAACATTGACTATCGATTAAAAGGTACTTTATAAAGTTAAGGGTATTCCAGCTAAAACCGACAGAGCCACGTTTGTTTAGCTTTAGCCCTTCGCCTCTGGTTGATGCCTTGAAATCAAAGACTTCACTGCATTGGTCTGTAACATTTCTGTATCCAGGCAACTGTATCTGCTGGCTCCTGGCAGGATGTATCTTCGGAGGTCTGTCAATTCACAAATCTCGCAACAATTTATCTTGCTTTCAAAGCAACAGATAAGGTAAATGGCCTGTACTTATATGACACATTTTATAGTCAGAGGACTTGACTTTCACACTACAAACAGTCATTCACACACTGATGGTGGCAAGCTACAGTGTAGCAAAAGCTGACCTGGGACTCACTGACAGAAGCAAGGCTGCCATACGCTGGCACCACCAGTCCCTCTGAGAACCATCAGTAGGCAATACAGGTGAAGTGTCTTGCCCAAGGACACAACTACACTGAAAGCCGGAGCCAGGGCTTAAACCAACAACCCTCCGGTTCCGGGGCAAACTCCTTCCCCAGTGATTTCTGCATCTTTCTTGCCATTATAGTGTAAGATAATCCTTTGTTTGAATCACATTTCTGTTCAGCCAAGTTTATTAACAACTTACCACGCTCCCCACTGTAAGAAATAAAAAAAATTACTTCTAAAAAAAAGTTCTTTGAAAATCAACTCTTCCTGTATTTCCGAGTTCCCAGCTTTTTTTTTACATTTAAGAAAATCACCTGTTGAACATTCTTTTGACTTTTTATACTTTGACACAGCCAAATGGGCCATGTTGTTTTAATTTGTGCAACACCAGGACAGAGGTACATTTGGTCACCCTATGTGTAGTGGAAGTCCATATGCCAGGGGTCCTAAACTCAGATACTTAAGTGTTGCTGTCCTGCAGCTTTATGATGGGTCAATAGCACTACCTCACTAACCAGCAATCAAGCCTTGCAGAGCTCTGCCTATTAGCTGACCATGGAGTCACATGTGTTGAAGAAGAGATGCATCTAAAAGTTTCAGTACAATGGCCCCTTAGAACTGGAGTTTAAGACCACTGCTCTACGCATCTAGTTTGACAGAAAAAGAAAATCACATTAGAGCTTTCAAAGTCAGAAGCGAATTGGTGTGACCAGACCTTAAGCCAGGGATTGGCAACTCCACTCCTGAAAGGCCAGTGTCCTGACACTTAGATATGTTACTGCTCCAACGTACTTGAATCAAATTATTCAGGCGATTACCAGGACTTTAGAATCGTAGAACCTCCGTATTGATTATGGAACTCCACCATTTGATTCAGGTAAGCTAGACCGAGGAAAAAAAAGTTGAATCATACCCTGAAAAATTTGGGTACGTCAAAGGCTGCTTCCAGAATCTAGAAAGTGGTACAGTTGGAATGACCTGACTGAAGTCCTTACTTCAACCCGATTGAAACGTCATGTAATCAGCTGTGAAGAGCTCAGACCCAAGCTAAAATAATTAAAAAATAACAGCGATGACTAGCTGAAGAATTCAAACCCATCGTGCAACAAAGGGTTTCCTAGCTTGTAAGTAGAACTGGCTGGTGGTCCCAGTCCAATATGTTTGTGAAAGTCTTTTCCTGCACACTATGTCCCTGTTTTTTCTTTAACTTGTTAAACTGCCAATATTCCTTGATTCCTTTATATCGATATCAAATATAAATATCAGTTGTGAAAAAGGCTTTTTGGCATTTGTGAAGCTATACCGCTAGACTCTGCTGCTAAGGTCAAAAAAATAAATGTCTTTACACATGTGGAATAATTTAAAGGGCAAATAAACAGCCTTTCCAGGAATAAACCTTATTGCTTTGTTACAAAGATGTAATCTACCTGAAAAAGCCTGAGCTTTGTGTTTCTTTAAATAATTTGCTACCTTACGAGTGTTGGAGACATTTAAAAACATAACACTTCATGTCAACTGAAGCTTTTAATCATATCCAAAACATACAGTGGTTGTTATTTAAATTTCCATCTTTACTGCTAAGAATTTTAACTTTTTTATTTAGACTCAGCAAAACTATTTTTCTAATTCAGGAGAAGATAAACAATGAAGAAACCAACTGATCTTTTACATCGACATCTGTCCTTTTAAATTTTGGCCCAAGCTTACTAGATGAGGCCATAGCCATGGTCACATTCTCACCAACAGACAATGGACGAGTCCAGTCCTGGTGAGTAAGCAGAGCCATTTTTCTTTTTCCAACACTGAGAGCTGAAAGTAAATACGGGCACCACCGTGGGGAGGGTCATGTGAGCGAGCAGCTAGAGGGAGCTGTGCCAGGAAGGTTGTGTAGGACATGAACAGTGGGACTGCTGTGTTGGATAACAGCTTTTCACTGCCATGAAAACACATGCAAAGTCACAATGGCATGAAAACTGAGACAAAGGCACAGTCAGGCTCTGAGCAAACATGCCGAGAGTGGGAGGGAAATGGTGAAGTGCTGATTCTCCCAGTCAGACAGTTGAGTGTCCAGCAACAAAACGCTGATTTACATTAAAAGGAAGTCTATAGATTCTTACGAGTCCAGTTCAGTTCTTAGAGTGCATCTTCTTTATGGACTGTATCACAGAGCCATTATGGAAAAGCTACGGTAAACAAAAAAAAACAAACAAAAAAAAAGTGAAACATGACTCATTTGTTTTGCATGTGTTTTAAATCATAAAACTTTAAACTCATTTACTTTTAAAATAATGCCTTTGTTCACAGCCCTACAAAAGTGTTATTACCCTTTGGTTTCACATTTTATCAAGCCAAGTTTACAACTTCTATTATATTTTGGGGGATTTTTAAGTGATAGATTAACTCAAATGAGTACAAAACAAAGATGAAATGACAAAAAAAAAAAAACAACTTCAATTTCTTCAAGAAGTAAAATCTGAAATTTCTACTTCTCAAATATGTCCTTCTAAATGGGTTTGATACTTTGCAGTTTTAGGTCAGGAAGTATTTAAAACCTTAAGGTCACGTATAAGGTCAACATTCCTCTTAGCAAACTGGTTCAAGTTCAGTTAGATTAGACAGAAAAAGTCAGTAGACAAGTCATAAGTCATAGACTCCTAATAATATAAATAGCAGCCTGTGTTAGTAACGGGGCAACATTATTTTTTTAAGGCAAAAGCCTTACAAAGCATTCAATGCGTGTCAAGATTGTATGACTTTTAGTTTTGCTATACATATTTTTTAATATCTGTGGTGGCAAAAGTTATAAAGGCCAACCTATTATAAGTATACTAACAAACTTTTGCAATTTGTCATACGTTTAATTTTGCTTTTGCATCAAATAAAACAAATGTTACATTTACATAGTAATGCTAACTTTAAATGCTAGTATGTGCCAGTAGCTGCATTGACTTGCAGTAGAATGAACCAGAGGATTTCAACCACTCCTATTTCAGCCTTATCTCTAGAGAAACTTTGACATTTCACTGTTGCAGTTTGTCAGTCAGCTTCAGATAGTAAAATACTGCTCCAAAGTCCAGCCCTTCTGCTAATGTCCTGAAATGGCTGATGCAACATAACACTATATGTATATATGAGTAAGATTTTAACTGTTCTGTTTTTTTAAACAAGTCATTTATTCTTTTGTGCAAGTTTAGCTTTAGATTTTTTTCCAGTACATTTGTGTCCTTTTGTCTGTTTATTCTGAAACGGAAAAGCTGTAAATAAACATGGAAAATGCTCAAAATTGAAGGTTATGACGTTAAATTGACTTATTTTGCTCAACACCCAGCATTAATGTGCAAAAGTATGAACTAATGGTAATTTCTTCATACAGTGCAAAAAGATAGACCTCATCAAAAGGTCTGTGACATACCTGTTTACACTTTTTAACAATATAAAAATTAGCCAAGTGCATTTAATAATAATAATATACAACTTTTATTAGTAGCTCCTATTTGTTTTGAGTCAAAAATAAAATAAAAAAATCAGGTAATTGAGGAGTCCCACAAGGATTTTAAAAAAGTGAAATAAGTGACAAGTTTAAATGCTTACTTTAATGAACTGTAATAATAATTTGTTTAAGAAAGCTGCCTTAGCGATCATCTATAGGCTACACCATATGCCATGGTGTTCTCTCCTGTAGAGCATCCTGTTTAATTTGTGGTACTTTTTTATTTTATTTTTTACATATTTGACTTTAGTAAAAGAAAAATGAAACTGAGTGGCAGGCTGTAAAGGATAAAGGGACGATATAGATTGTTAATAATTTGCATCAATACTGGTTCAGCCTTCAGTGTGAGATCCTTCTTTGTCTAAAAGTTTTAACACTAAAACAGAATTATTGAAAATGCAAATCAGATCAAAATGAGATTTTAAGTGACCTACAGGATGAATACATTCTTTTATCAAGTTTGAGTCTCTTTTCTTGACTTGTCAAGTAATGCCTAAATATTAAAAATGCTCGGAGGCCTCAACACTTCTGAAATCACACATTCTTAAGGGCTGAACCCAACAAAAAAAAATATTGCTTAAAAGAATAAAATGGTTAAAATTATGTTGAAATGAAATAATTTCTTCTCTTTCTGTCTTTTCCGTTCTAAATTCTATGCATACTTTAACTGTTTGTAAGATCAATGAGTAAGCTTATTTTTCCTCTTGTTTCCTATTGAGCAAACTGCTAAACTGAGCCCCTCCTCCACAACTTTGCTAATACTGTAGTAATTGCAACTGGCTAATCAGATTAAAGAGACATAAACCCTTTTGCCTAGATTAAGACCACATTAAGACCAAGTATTTTTTAATGGGAGTATGTTATAGGCTTCTGATCCATTATTAGAAAACCCAATGTAAGTTGCCAACTCATCCATGGTAATAACGAAATACATGGGTGCAAATGTGAAATTCATGTAATAATCTTGTTAAATGTGCTGTTTTTTCTATTAATTAAAAACAAACTATACTAATTCTGTTAATTAAAAAAAAACTTAATGTATGAATTATGAAAACAAGGCAATGTTTCATCCATCATCGATTAACTTGCCTTGTTTAAAATATCCATTGAACATTAAGATTCTTAAACATTTGAATTTTTCTGATGGTTGCTTGTATCTACTTTCAGATTGCAAAACAAGTTTGTGTCCTTGGAAGGCAAATATGAACAAATACGGCTTTTTCTTCCACCTCATGATAAATGCATTATCTGAGCCCTGTCTGTGGATATTTGTTATGCTCTCTTGAACAGCTTTTAAGTGCACTTTTACAGCACTTTTGTTGACTCACCAATTAAAGCCACGTGTTGAGGAGTAGAAGGTAAACTTATATGCTTCAGCTGCAGGTGGGTTTAGCCACAGTGAATCACTCTTCATAAACTTTCCATCTGAGCTGTCAGAGTGAGGCTCCTCGGTATAGATTGCTGCAGCGCTGAGCGTGTTTTTCATGAAGCAGAGGGACATTAATAACATATGCACAACAAAGAGTTGTATAACAAGCCTGCTCGGTTACATGAGAGCTGCCCCGGGGGAACTGAGGGCGCCACATCCTTCCTGCTTACTAAATATTTTATGGAAAAGTTATGAATCCTCCCAAAAGGAGGCTTCAAACAGATTGCATGTGGAGGTCCCACCCTCTGATCTCCCACTGAGTTAAACAAACATTTTAATTACCGCTTTGCTGCTGTCAGCGCGCTCCTCGCGGCTCCTAGTCGCTGCGCTGGTTGAGGCGGCTCTGGTCTGCATGCTGGTGTCACCTGGAAACAAAGCCTTCGAGTCTCCTCTGAGCATTGAGTTAGAAAATCGCTGAATGCTTCTGGGTGCGACCCGCTCCAAGAGTCCCCAGTCTGTTACCAAACAAGCCGAGCTGTCCCACTTCTGGACGGGCTCTGCTTGTTGGTGCGCGTGCTTCGGCTGGAGCTCGCCGGCGCACGCGCTGAGGAACCGAAGCCGCTGAAAGCTGCGGCCTGTCCGGCCTGTCAGGGAGACCTCTCCCGGTCCGCTTGCTTTGACCCGCACCACAAACCAGCCCGGACGTTTGTAAGCCTGATCCAGTACAGACGCTGGCAGCCTCCCCGCACGGCACAAAAACATTGTTGGTGCGCCTCCACTGGCGAGGTTATGTGTCCAGAAAATCGAATTAAGCGAGTTACTCGACCTGAACAATTAATTATTAAAGTGGGTGGCGGTAAACATGCTGCCCTGTGGCCCCTGGTGTCCCCTCCGGTCCTCCTGTAGACCGATTATTGCAGACAGCCAATCCGGACTGACGCGCAACCGCAGATAGTTAAATCCGGAGAGGAGGGAGGGGGTATTTAAAGGCATAACCGTGTATGTTTATCTAATAGAGTTACATCATAACCTGAAGATTAAATTAAGATAAGTTTAGCTCTTTTTTTTAAATAATCTAAACATGTTTAAATTAGGCTTCCTGTCTATGATCTTCATTTACCAAAAAGAACTGGCTGCTGAGTTTTAGAGTTAAATAAGCCACAAATCAACCAATAATACCCAGAGGCGTAGCCAGAACATTTTTATAAGGGTGGCCAGGCAATAACCAATGTACACTGAGGGGGGGCCTAAAGCAGATAGGCGCCAGAACCTCAGAGTCAATCTACACTGTTCCAACAGTAAAGTAGGACTTAGACTTAGACAGCCTCTACACCTCACAGCGTCTAAGTCTAAGCGAAAATTCGTTTGGAACAGCTCTCTGAACAATTTCATCTTTTTTAAAGTGCAGCCTTGAAAAATAGTTAAAAATTTTTTTTACAGTTCTAAATTTTTTAAATATATATAATGATAAAATATAACAAATATAATAAAATACAATACAATAACCCATTTTACAAAAATTCAGCAGTCTAATGGCAGTGGGGAAGAAACTGTTGTGGAATCTGCTGGTCCTGCATCCGATGCTTGAAGTCTCTTCCCAGAAGGCAGCAGGGAGAACAGTCCATGGTGGGGTTGTGAGGGGTCATTTATGATGTTACAGGCTCAGGACACCCAGGGCTGGGATGACATTTTTTTTATGGACGAAAGAGGAGCCCCGATGATCCTCTCTGCTCTCCTCACTTTCTTCCAGTCTGAGGTGCTGCAGCCTCCACACCTCACAGTGAGGCAGCTGGTCAGAACGCTCTCTATTGTGTTTCTGTAGAAGGTGGTAAGGATGGGTGGGGGCAGGTGGGCTCTCCTCATCCTCTACAAAAAGTACATGCACTTCTGCGTCCTTTTGATCAGTGAGGTGGTGTTTACATTCCAGGTGAGGGTGTCTGTGATGTGCACCCCCATGAATTTGGTGCTGCTGACCACCTCTACAGCTGAGCTGTTGGTGAGCCGTGGAGCGTGGTTAGGTCGGTTCTTCCTGAAGTCCAAGATGATCTCCTTCGTCTTCTCCACTTTTCAGGATCAGGCTGTTATCTTTGCACCAGTCCACCAGCTACCCCACCTCTTCTCTGTAGTCCAGGTCATTGATTTAATTAGCAAAACATCCATATTTTCTAAATAAAGACAAACTATACTTTCCTACAGCCTTTGCTAACAAGTAAGCGCATATATTTAAACATCTGTGCTTTTTAAATAAAAGGTATAGTGATAAAATTCTTTCAGTTTTGGGATCAGGGGCATAAATCTTTTCCATCATTATTACTTACCTACTTGTATCAATAAACATTCTGCATAAAATTGATATTTACAAGCACAAATATCTACATAAATTGATTATTTGATACGTTTTTATTAAAATTGTTATTTATCTATGATTTCACTGAAGACTACCAGAGGACTTGCAGAGACACATCATTTTCTCTTTACCCCATATAACACAAAATCTAGTTCTGAAAAGAGCATGAATTCTGTATTTCTCATCTTTGATGTTAGTATATTGATGTGTATTATTAACCATGAAAAATTTTAATGTTTTGAATATTCCACTTGAGAGTATTACTGCTGTCACCATCTGTATTAGAGGGAACAAATGGTAGGGGTGGCCACAGGGGTGGCCAATGCTTGGGTAAGGGTGGCCATGGCCACCCCTGGCCCCCCATCTAGCTCCACCCCTGATAATACCTAATATCAAGCAAACGGCTAAAAAAATATTTAAAGAATCAATATATTGGTGGATATTTGATCCTTACACCTTGCGCCACATCAAACACATTTCCATGAAATGATGCAAAGGTTTCTGCACATCCTGACTTTATATTGAATATAACCCCTGTGATAAGCTACAAAAAAAAACATATGACTAGTTTTCTTATAGATACTTTTTAATAAATGAGAATGTTATAAAATACCCACTGTCTCTTTTACTTGATCTACCCAGTAATTCAACTCCTTGGACCCGATAATTAGATTTATCACTCGGACTGATTCAGTTCAGTTTGAATTCAGTTCATCTATGTTGCACCAATTCACAACACGTCACTTCACTTTACAGAGATAGATTGTTTCACAGTTTTCTAAGGAAAACCAGTTGATTGCAGAGCAAGTTCCTTCTGCATGAGAATGTGACAGTTGATATTTGCTTGTATCTTGTTGTTGACCCGACAGCAATCCCTCACAGCAAGGATGCGTGAAGTGACAATAGAGAGGAAAAACTCCACATTTAACAGGAGGACACCTCCATTAGGACCAAGCTCAGTGTGAGAGGCCAACTGGGGTTACAAAGAGATAGAAGCAGTCATAGAAAAAGAAGCAGACATGCAAAACAAACATAGAAGCAGCATTGACCTATAAATACTTATGTTAGAAAAAGTAACAGGAAACTAGCTGCACAGGTTTTCTGTCAGTATCACATAACCACATCCAGAAGTTCATTTTTATAGCTATGCCTGTCATTTCAGAGTACTTTATTGAAACATGATGCCAGTGTTTGTGAAGGAGTATGATATTTTGACCCTTATTTAGGTAAATACAGTTTATGGAGAGCTATGCCATTTTGATAGGTTAGTTTGAATAAAAATATCTCGATAGGTTAGATGTTTCATAGGAAATACTGTTTTGGGGTAATAGTAATGTTGCCTGATATTCATGGATGAACAACGTGCCAGCTTTGATTGCAGCATATTCACATTACCCAAAGGTAACAACGTGGGCTACATTAATAATTGGCAATCCTTTTGGGGAAACCTGGTCTGATTCGGAGAGACTGCATCCATCCCACTTTGGATGCTGCAGCTCTTCTTTCTAGAAATCTGTCCTCCATTAGTCCTCTATAACACTTACAACCCAGGGTGCAGACCAGGAAGCAGAGTCATATTTTATCACATCTCTCTGCAGCTTCTCTACTGTTACGCAGTCACTACTGTTACACAGTCAGTCCGGGTCAGACAGAACATCTCTGATGTCATCACCCTAAGCACATGCTTCAGCTAGGACTGCGCCCTGAGCCCCCTGCTGTTCACTCTGATGACACACGACTGTGTCACCAGGTTCACCACCAACCACATCGTGAACTTTGGAGACGATACCATGGTGGTGGGCCTCATCAGAGACGGAAAAATAACCGCCTGATGCTTAACGTGGAGAAGACGGAGATCATCGTCGACATCAGGAAGAACAGGCCTAACCAAACTCCACAGCTCATCAACAGCTCAGCTGTAGAGATGGTCAGCAGCACCAAATTCCTTGGTTTGTCATGATCTGCTCCGATAGCTGGCCTTAATTGCTCATTTCACTCACCTGTCTAGTCTGCCCAGTTCCCAATCATCTCTGATCTCATCCACCTGTAGGTTCTGCTTTATATTCAGTCCAGCCCAGCTATCAGGGCCAGATCGTTGTTTGCTTTCTGTTTGCTCCCTGTTTTATTTCTGTTAGTTTCCTGTCTGTCAGTTTACTTAGTTTTAGTTATTTCTAAAGTTCATGTTCCAGTGAGGAGTTTATTCTCTAGCCAGTGTCCTCAGGCGAGTATTCAGTGACCAGTGGTGAGAGCGTTTAAGCTTTTCCCTTGGGGTTCTGTTTTCCTGATTCCGTTCCCTCTCACCCACTGGCCCTGTCTGTCCCTGCCTGATCTGTTCGCCTGAACCGCGGTTGGACTCCTCCTGGATTCTGCCTCCCAGGGTGTGTTTCTGTCTGAGCTGGATGCTCAACGCACGGGACACTGAACCTGCCTTCGCGCTCTGATGGATCCTAGAACCCGGATCTGTCCGTTCCTGAGTGAACTGTACTGTTAAACCAGCTAAGTGACTCACTCTAATCATTTTCTGTTCAGGTGATAGTGGTCACTTACCTCTGTTTCTCTCTACTGAATCAGTGATGGGTTGCGCTCCGCACCTGCAGTTGCTGCAGTTGCAGTTCCACAGCAGCGTGTTTCTGTTCTGTCTGTTTTGGTTTTAATAAATGTTTTGAACTTTCCTACTGGCTGTCTCACCTTGAATATTGGGTCCATTTGTTTGGCTTTATGACAGGGGTTGCACATGGCAGGCAACCTCACCTGACTGTAAACACTGCCTCACTGGTCAAAAGGGCACAGAAGCGCTTATACTTCCCACCCACCCTCACCACCTTCTACAGAAGCACCATAGAGAATGTTCTGGCCAGGTGTCTCACTGTGGGGTGTGGAGGCTGCAGTACCTCAGACTGGAAGAAAGTGAGAAGAGTCTTGAGAACAGCAGAGAGGAACTCCTTTTTCCCAGTAAGGTGATAATCTCTTGGATGTAGGGAAGAATGGAGCATTTTAGAATTATGTAAGCGAGAGTAATAACTTCATTCTAAATTTTAAGTTGCTATTTCTGTTTATTTATGATGATTGATGTTTATAGCTAATAAACCCCCATAATTAGATGTAATAATTACAGCATCAGCCTATATAAGATCAAACTAAAACGTTAAACTTTTTTATTATAAACATACAAGTTCCTAAATTGCATGTTATTTGTTTTACAAACATTAAATTAGATGACACTTTCTGCTGTTTTAGATCAGTGAGGATCATTTAAAGTTTTTCATCTGCTAAACGATTAGATAATTATAGGGAGAGAATGCAAAGTAATTAAAGTTCCTATGATCTTAACAAAACTAGGAAAGAGGATGGAAGCCAACAAACCTGACTAAGTGATACCAGTGCGGAGGAAAGGGCAAATAATTGCAATGCATGATTTTTGAGAAGACTGCAAAAGGGTTGGCTAAATATTTGATAGAAATGCAACTTTTAAAAGCAATTTTGATAAATAGTAAGAAAGTGTATTTCAGACTTAAATTTTAATATAGTTTAAAAACATTATCTAAGTATTTTATCTTGATCTTTATTATGTAATTTAGCAAATGACAATAATCAAAAAAATAATACCTACTGAAGAAAGAAAATATATCTAATCTCACTTAAAGTCAGAGAGAAAAGATTGATTCTCTTTTTCTAGTTTCAGTTCCCTGATATAAATGCAATTTTCATGTTAGAAAATAATTACCGTATATATATTTTAAATTCTTGTTTTCGAAACACCAAAATATATTTTCTCAGGTATTGAATAGAAATGCTTATGTCTAATTTAGTTTTTGGGGATCAACAAGTTGGGCGACCAAGTTAAAAAAAAAAAAAAAAAAAAGCTTGGTGTTACCTTTAATGCTTGTAGAGTATGGTTGTTATCCACTCAAACAGCATGCCTTCACATGGCCCATCCCTGTGACACTGCCTCATTGTTTGCAGTTATCTTTGAGATGCAGTGTCATGATGGGATAAAACCACAGGGGACCCTGTAGAGAGAACAGAAAATGTACCCGCTCGATAACACACACTTCTGAGGTAGACTAGAGCAAGCCAGACATTTATGTCTGTTTTCCAGGAGCAAACAAAAGTAAAATCTGACAGAAATGTAAACTAAAGATGTCCTCTTATAAGGGCGTGGTGACATGAACCAGAATATTCAAGCTCCATAACCGTCACCACGGCTCTATTACAGAACACTTTCCTAGATTTCATGTTATCAAAGGATGTTGATGCTTTTCTTAATTCAGCTGTAAGTCATGTGCTGAACTCAGCTGACCTTTGAATCATTTGATGAATAATGCATATCTGCACGTTCAGTAAGAAAAAGCCAGACAGAAAAGTAAGTAGGAGGTAAGATAAAAAGGGTGGGTTGATGGCAGGAAGCCATCAAAAACGTCCTCAAGTGGTGGAGCCCCTGACTTTTCATCAGCAAAGCCACATCGGCATGTGGGTGGATCTTGTACTGCTACTAGTTTGAACCGCTTTTGTTGCTGAGACAGAAACATTTATCTGCCGGGGCCACATAACAGCCATGAATGCAAATGTTAGAAAACGGGACCAACGTCTTTCTTACACATAACTGAAACAATGCAAGTTTAGAAAAGTGAAGTAAAAATGAGACAAAAGTCTTAACCCTTTGAAGCCCAATCCAAGAATAAAACAAAACAGAAAATTACTTCTTTTTTTTGTTTGTTTGAAGTCCTTATTTGGCCTTTTAACAAAACATGTAAAAAGAAAAAACAGAAACGCATTTTTGATATTAATAATTTATTACTATGCGATAAGTCAAGATTGTTTTTTGTGTAGTCTTCTGCCCTCTGTTATCAGGTATATCTGATTGTGTAAAATAGGATTTTGAGCAAAGTTTTTACCATTAAATTATGCAAAAGGAACCTGAATTTAAAAAGAAAACATTAAGCAAAAGAATAAAACAATGTGATTGTGTTAGTGTCAATGCCGATTCAAATGCTAATCAGAAAAGATATATGGTATATTTTTTTCTATCTAAGGCAATTCATATATGACGAGATGTTTTTGTATTGGGTTTGTAGAGGGATTTTATCATTAGACCTCAGTGCTATTCTCCAGAAATGTGTGAATCGTAGTGCTTACAATATACATTTATTGTGCTTTGGAAAGCTGGGAAGCTTGGAGTGATCTAGCTTTGGTGAATGAAGTTATAATCAGTGTAAGAATAAACATCCTAAAACTTTTTCAAACTCTCCTGCTGGAAGGTAGGGGTCTAGAGCCTCAACGACGATAAACTCAATGAACAAATGGGTTTCTGTGTTTGGCCATTTCAAAACAAACGTCTTTTTTTGTTTTAAACACTATCAGTAATTCTTTGGATTTAAAGCATCCAAATACAGAGTCACTGATTTGTTTTTGGTGAATCTGCAGTCACACAGTGGTCATAATGTTCCTGGATTTCAACCATTTAAAGCCCTTGCCATGCTGAGCTGGGTCAAGTATTCAGAACTGCAGACAGAGCTTCTGTATGGAGTGGCATGGAAATTGAATATTAATGTAGACATTCTGCAGCAGTAGCACAAAAGAACAGTATACATATTTGGCATTTGTAAATTAGGAAGCTCTGGCTTTGGCTTATCCACAGCATTCATGGCAGATTTCCTTAACTGGAGACAAAACTGCATATAGGAAGTACTGCATTTATTTAATCAATATCAGCTCTTGTTCTTAAGTAAAATGGCATTGAGTAAACAAACATTAAGTGGCCTCAATTAAAAACTGTCAGTCATACAGGAACAAATCTGCCCATTACTAAAAAAAACAGCTTCATGGGTTTCTTCTAACTATAACACCCTTCTTAAATAAAATCCCTTTACTTTTGGCAGTAAGAGCCCAATGTTAAAAAGGCTGCGAGGTTTATGCTATCTGTCACCATAGCTGTATTTCACAATAACTACATTATACTTTTATAATTCACAGGGATTATCTATTACTTCAGCTGTTGTTTTTACCCACAAGGTCTATGCAACTTCCTTTTTGGTTCCCTCTAAACCGTGTGATGTGGTCCCTGTGTTTTTTCATCCACTGTCTGAGGGTTTCATAACCTCTCTGTTTAACGTCACAGCTTCCACAACAACATAAGAAATATTCCAACCTGCTTCCTTCTTTGTTGTTCTGTTTTTGTTAGTTTTCTCAGAAAGTATGATGGCGGACAGAAAAAGTGCAATGGACCCAGCGTTTTGCCGATAGACTGTTGGAGATAGAAACCAGTCCCCACAGGACCTCAGCTGATAAAAGCAGTAGAAGATAGATGAAACAGAAACCAAAATCCTGCATAAAAAACACTTTGCTCATAACTTTTAAACATTGAAAAATAAATGTGCTGCTGTCCTTATTTGCTTCCTCTGATTCAATGTTTTAAAGCTATTCACTGGAAACAAAGCAAGTTGCTTTTGGTCTGAATGTGTCAGAGTTTAAGTAACTATTGTTCACAGGACGTTATCACACTAATGCAGGGTGTTGGGTCACTGTGGTTGCTCCACTTTGGAATGCAATCCTTAAACACCAGGATCATTTCGGCTGACTGACAAGTTTAGGCGGGATGTCAGTGCTTAGTTTTTCATTTAGTGTTGTAGTCTTACCAATGATAAGAGTAAGAAAAAAAACACAAATGAAATTCTGCTAAAATAGGTTCAAGCTTTCAGTCTTTATCACCATTAATTTATTGTGGTTAAGGTTTGGGCTAATGCTCAGAAAACTGACCTTCCCCATGTGACATGCTGCTGCTCTTCTATAAAATACGGTGTCTGGTATGATGAGTTTCTTTAACTTCAAATGTTACTCTGATATAGATTGTTGTCTCAAATGCAAAACTGTGTGGGATCAAGCATGTCTGCTTTAACTTTAGCCTGTTACTTTTCTTTTCTCAAAGATGCAGCGTTTTCTACTTCAACAAAAGCATATTCAATTTAGTTAAAAACGCAAATCTTTTCATCTTCAATAAAATCTTAAAACTATGTTTCTAATCTAAAGTTATGGAGCAAAATGTATCCTACTTGGTCATGAAAAGTGTTTTTCTCATATTTTTATAATCACATATGTTATATTTATATGTATCCTCTTTTACTGTGAGCTATGCTTCATATGTTACTAGTGATATTTGTTCAAAGCTTGTTTAATGAATTGAGTTATGAGCATCAGATATAAAACATAAAAATCCAGCAAAAGAACAATTATTTACATAAACATGGATCAGACCAAATAAAACGTAGTGTTTTCTTTGAATAAATATATTTAAATATATGTGACATTGCTCATGTATATTTATGTGGATAATTGGATAATGCAAAAAGATACATCCTCAACCAGAGATATCTCTGATATTCAACTACCAGTTCTAGTATCAGACATGAAGAGATTTACACAGAAGCATCTTGTAATGTTAAAGGGTGGATGTCAGAGATAGAGATGGAGACTAATGGTGTAAGAGAAGGAGTGGACCGAAGACAGAGCCATGAGGGACCTGGTAAATAAAAGGGAACACAGTAGAGATCTTCTAAGTAGAATAACTGTCTAAATAAAAAGGACAATATGGCCGGAACCATTCAAAGACTGGCCTTTAAAGTTTCTTTTATTATTCTCTTCTTGAGACACATTTCCATTAAATTCTCCCTTCTTAAAATTAATTACAGTATCGATGCTTCATGTTTCTCTGTCTTCTTACAGCATCCCTCCTTTTTATACCGTAGTGAATGCTTGGTATGTGTTTGAATGCTGCTTCTGGATTAGATCTATACTGCTTTTCAATGAGGAGGACAGAAGGACTGGGATCAGAGCCAGCTAGCCTGGACTCAGTGGTTCAGGCACAAAGGCAATGACAGGCAACAGGGAGGGAGGTTAATGCAGTCCAGATCACGAGTTTTCAGCACCATTGTTCTCTACCCAGTCTTTATTCCGTGGGTACACTCACTGGCCACAGTCATCTAGAGATGTAAAGTGGATTTTTCTGTTCATTTGCTCCGACTACACAGACTGTGTGCTAATGTGGACGCTTAACAAATATGTTTTAGGGCTTACAATTGGTTCTTTTTTTCAAATTCATGAGTTTCTGAAAGGCAAGTGGTTCTTTTTAATTAACCCATCCATTTAAGACTAGGCTCAAACATAAAACAAATATTCACAATAATTGTACTCTATTTTTAAACATATACATATATTTATTTTACCTTGGAGACCAAAACATCTTTATTATGAGTAAAGCTGAATAACTGTAGTTATTTTTGTGTAAAAAAACTTGATTTGCACATGCAGCCAAGTCCCCAACAGCTGTGTTGTAAAAGGAGACATGATCACTTCTTGTTGCACAACAGAAGACAGCTGCATAGTAGATACAGCTGATCTCTTAGCGTCCAAACCACAGATATTTGTTTAAAAAATTAAAATAATAATTTCAAGTGTTAATGTAATGCTCTAAAAAAGCATTATCAACTCTTATGACACTGTTATGTAGGCTTTATCATTTCAGACACCATTTAAGTTTCTAAAAATATACCATTTATTCAAAATATGTCAATGCAGCCATCAATATATACCAGTAATTACAAAAATCAGTAGTTGTTGTTTATTTCATCATTATAGACAACAGGGCCTGCGGAAAAGAACAAGCAATAATTCCTCCATATATCGCTTCGAGTCACATCAGAGTTTGGTTTTTTAAAATATTACATATACTGAGTTTAACACTTTGCAGAAGCTAAAACATTGATTTCTTTCTACTGACTCATTACAAATGGCTATCAATTGAAAGTAATGATGCAGTATTTAGTCTAAAGTTACCAGACATAAAGTTGAACATAAAAAAAGTTAACAGAAAAACACCTTTTCTTTTTGGTTATAAAATGTTTTAAAAAGATGCAAAACATTTCAGGATAGAGGGCCACCTGGATGCATGCAATGGATTTATAATTCCTGGATAATTAAAAAAAGGGCTTTAACTTGTTTAAGAGTGATCTGCATTCATAACATGAATGTAGACATTGTTTATTTAGACAAGTGACTGTATTAGTTCCCCTAGAACAAAAACACAGACATGTAAAGGCGAAATATGAGAAGAGATCTGGGAACATCGATACGATCATATTTACACAGTTTTCTGTACATTTATATAACACTGTACAGGTAATTATAATCGGAAAACAAAATTACATTATGAATAATTTTACAAAACAATAGGGGTGAGCATAAATGGTAAAGTAATCCTTAACGCTTCAAACCTTTATATATGCTTTGAAATTTTGGAATACTCTTTGGCACTAATAAGATCAAAGGCTGTAGGTCAGTTAAAGGATTAGTTCAGCTATTTTGGAAATACACATTCTAAGAAATAATTGAAAATGGTGACACCATTTTTATGTTTATTATGAAACTGCAGCAGGTCAAAGTAGATCTATATAAATAATAAAAAACAAAATAAACAAACAATCAAACAAAAAAAAAAGCCCCCCACCAGCAAAAATTGAGGGATTTTGATTTTTATGTGTTGTCATGCATTTGCTACCCTGTGGGGACAATTTCCTAGGAAAATGCTACTTTGTGGGGACTTACAGGTACTTGAGACGACCAAGGACTGGTCCCAGTGAGAAATTCTGTTCTTTTACTGAAGTTTAGGACTAAGATGGGAGATTAGGTTAGGTTTATGTCAGGTAATAGAAATTAATGTAATATGAAGTGAAATCAATGGAAAGTCCCCACAAGGACAGTAGGATACACATGTGTGACCAGATCGGTTTGTGGATGATCACATTAGGGCTGCAACAAACAATGATTTTGTTGATTATTTTTTTGATTAAATTAATAATCAGATAGCAAAAGGTTAAAGATTTTTTACAGTATTAAACCAGGTCAAACTTAAATGTTTCCACTTAAGGGGTACTGGATAAAACATATTGACAGGCGAAAAAGTTATTTTTAAATCTTAAATGCAACATATGGATATATATTTGTAGTTTTCTTACAAGTACTGCTCTAAGTGGGTTGCTCTGTCAGCTAAAGGCATATTAATAGTCTCTATACTCCAGGATATGAATAATCGATTATATATTAATTGTTTCAGCCCTAGATCACATATATTTCATACATCTTTAAGAGATTCAATTACTTCGGGTAGTTTCTGACTTAATGTTATACCTTTAATAATTCAAAGATACTGTTGTAAGGGAGGTGATGGGCATGTGGTTAATTTACACCATTTATTTGGTTATTTCATGCTACCCATTCATACCTACATAACTGAACCATATGCCTGTCTGCGAACTGCTGCTCCACTTTTTAGTCCGATTCTCATTTGGACCAGTCAATCCCTCTAAAATATGCTACATCATCATTCCTGACTGAACTAAAACTACTTCAAATGTTTCTGCTTGTAGAGATAAATATTAACAGTATTTCTATTTAGGTAACCCAGATTATAGATAGTTGCAATAAATTCTGAATGGAACCTCCCACAAGCAAGAGGGATTAACAAACAATCAGTGCAAAAATCTTAAACAGAGGCTCTATTTCATGTCTATGAAGTCAGGAACAAATCAACTACGATGTAATGGTAACGAAAAATGTCAAACGGGTATATTAACCAGCATCTGTGATATTAATAATGTTAACAAATTTAATGAACCTTGCAGAAACAATTGAATAAAAATAAATGACATAATTAAAATATATGTCAAAATATAAACACAAATTTTACTTTGGTTTGCTAGTGGTTGGATGCTGCAGTCATGGGCCCCAACAACCACTTACACATACATGTGCTTGTTAGGTGCTGGTGGGAGGCGATAACTATTAAAATGTGGGAACACATGATGTATTTCCAAACACTTGAAACTACTCCTTTACCTGAGAGTATTATTATAAATAGACAGTTTGTAATTTTCATTTCAGCCTTTATGGGGAGTTTCTTACAGTGTGGGCTTCTGAAAACTTTTACAGTAATTCATGACAGTTTCTTAAAAAAAAAGAAAAATACAGTAACTGGCTGACAACAAAGCCACATGATGGCTAAGAGAAAAAACAAATACATAAAAGCAAATAACACTGTTATACAATGAAACACAAACAGAAGTCTGCCCCAACAGGATAGGTTTGTATTTAACAGGTCAGACAGTAACATACATTTCTCCTCCTCGTGTGATTTTTTTACTCCATGTTTAAAGGTGCTCATCTCATACTGCATTCACACTCTCCGCACAGCATCCAAATAATAAATACACTCAACTTTAAACATAATGTTTTTTTTTTTTACACATTAATCTCATAAATAAGGAAATGTACAGCAGCCGGGATTGGTTAAATTATCTATAGGAGTGAGCACAAAGTGGATTACAGAAAATACAGAGCATGATCTGTCAGTTTAGGTTCACCAGGAGCGGACGGTGAGGTGAAGCTAAAGTAAAGCCAACACATTATAGTGACATGTTCAAACAGTGCAGGTGTTTTATGTCTGTTATCCACGGTGAAGTACACTTCTTCCATTAGTTTAAATTGTTTCCTTGTATTTATTCCCTTTTTACAGTTTAAATGCAATCAGACTCAAAGACCTCATGCTACGTTTCGCTGCTCCTCAACAAAGTGTTACAATCTTCCTGGCCCGCCCTCAAGCACGGACTTCCTGCTCATTCAGAACTGACAAAGACGGGTGAAAAAAAAATAAATCAGACTTATTTAAATAAACACAGTATTTGACGTGGATGAAAATCCTTCTTGATCTGTTAAAGATCAGTTTGCTGGAAGTAAAATGAATTAAACTGTTTTAAGCTCCGTTCGAAGGAAGGGCATACATCACATTGGTGATTTTTTCCAATCCAGTGCAACAAGGTTTTTGACCCCTCATTAGGTAAAAGAAAATAATGATCCCCAGTCTATGTGATTGTATTATAGGCTGAGTGAACCAGATCCTCCTGCACCTCTGAACCCCATTCACACAGCTCTTTACCACCCGCCTGCTTTGGGAAACATAAAGGAGGACTCGCACACGATGAAGTTACAACTTCTCTGGACTGAGTTTAAAGTGAAATGGGAACATGATGTCAAAAACAGAAATATTCTTCATCTACTTTCTTTCTTTCCTCCATAGTTTTTACCGTTTTCTCAACAACCACGTGACCAAGAGGCTATGAAACACAGCAGCAGGTCCGCGCCTTGGGCTGCTCCTCCTCTAGGGGCTGTTTGAACTTCAGAAGGGGAGGATCACCGCTGGCCGGCGTGTAGTAAACTGCATTACCGTTGGAGGAGACCAGCGGCATCCGAGGGTCCTCTGAGTAAATTTTGGCATCAGAGAAGGAGTCTGTGGAGCCGTTGCCAAGGTGACCATTAAACAAGGGGTGATTCAACAGCTTGGCTGCTGCCCTCTGCTTCTTTAACTCCGACAATGTCTGAGCGCGCTCTCTCGGTGTAACCTCCTCCTGCGAGGGCTGGGAGGTGACGACCACGCCTTTGTTGGATGTTGGTGCGCTGCCATTGGGGGGCGCCTGAGGTGGCATGGATTTCGTAGTTGTAACAAGGCCGTTCTGTGTGCCGCTGCCATCTTTGAGGATGGTGGGCAGCTTGGGCTCCTCTGGTAGTTCCACAGTTACAATGGGCTTCACCTGTAGAGCATCAGGAGAGGTTACATTGATCTCTTTACAGCTAAGAGCATTCTATATATATCCCTTCCCAATAAAGCCAAAACCAGGCATTTAAAAGCAGGCATTTAATTTGATAGATCAACTCAAAATAGATTGTGGTGCTTCGTGCAGTTATTACTAGATGAAAATATTGTTTTCAACAGTTTTTACATTTGAAATGCAAGTTATCGATGTATGACATAGTCTAAATGAATGATAAATTATTAATTTGTTTTTTTTAACCATAGTTTTGTCCCGTAACAAGAGGATCTTTCCATTAACATAGGGGTCTATTTTCTATTCAATATGCTAAAAATAAAAAAAAGAAATTGTAGAAATTGACAGCTGTAATAAAAACTGACTGAAGACATTATTAACCTAGAAATATTAAGAAGATATAACAAAACAGGAACTCATTGGGTCGCTGGATAAAAAGGATGAAATATGTGAAACTGGGGATGCATCGATATAGATACTGGTACTGTTATTGGACTCAATACCAGTGTCAAGTATTGGCACTTGTTTAAAAAAACAAACAAACAAACACACAAAAAAAAAAAAAAACAATAATCTAAACTGATACGGCTTAAATGATAAAGATCACAGAATTAAAACTGTTAGGTTTACCCTCGCTGCAGCTGTCAAGAGGCCCTGTTGGAAAAGGCCCCTCTACTGCAACTAAGCTGTATTGAATCCAAGATAAAAGTCTGACTTTGTCAGCTTAGCATGTTAGAAAGTAAGATAAAAATTTTTCATCACAGCAAAGCTGTGATTTAGTACTTGCATCTGTACAAGGTATTGGCAAGGACTAAAATGTCAGTAGTGGTACTCATACATAAGAAATCTGACGCTGGGACATCTCTATGTTAAACACTTAAGGTTTCAATGTACAGAGATGATAAACCAAGACAGAGTATGTCGCTATGACATGCTGTCATACTATTTGCTACTTCACCTTAATGAAGTAGATGGGAAGTAGCTTTCTAAATTTTAGTGTAATCCAGCAATCAGTGCTGGGAGAGACTTTGTGCAATCAGAGCTTTTAAATCTGTGATTAGATCAGTGCCATTTAAGTGATAAATGAAGGAATTGAGTGTTAATATATACTAACAGAACAGCATTAAGTACATTGTGCATCGTTATTAAAAAGTGAAAATAACTGTGGAACAAACTCTGGATCGATTTATGTTTCTGCTCTAGTATGTCTGCTCTGGTATTACTTCTATTGCAAATACCAGAAAGGTCATGCTTATGAATGAACAGCAGTGTCCTCTAGTGGATGGCTGTGTTTTTTTTGTTTTTGTTTTTTTTACATAAAATCTCTAGATATTCTACTTTTGGTTTGGCCTGTAACTAGGCTATACTAAGAAATAAAAGTGTTTTAATCCAAACCATTTCACAGGGTGTCTATGGTCACTCTTTTGCAAGAAGTCAACCTACTGTCTTAAGTCTTTGTCAGACTATGACCACCATTCCACCATTATACCCCAATTTCTCAATATTTAGCTCCATCCATCTAATCTTTATATCTGAACAGCCTCCATGTTTCTGTCCTGAAAGTAAAGCATCAACACATCATGATGCAGGTGCAGCCGTGAGATGGTTAGCCTTTTGATGATCTGCAATGATAATTTCCCTGTGTTTACATTACTTACATATTTTTCTGTTGAGACTACTTCCTTGTTGGGTAATTTCTGAAGCCAGGTGACAGGACTAGGTTTTATTTAGTGGCATCAGATCCCACACTTTTCTTTACAAGTTTAATAAATCAAGTGTTCTTCTTCAATGTCATCATTATGACATTGAAGAAGATATCTGTTATAGAAGACATCAAGTAAAAAAATGACAGTGTATCATTCTAAATATATAATTATTTTTAGACAAAAGTCAAAAATGTATTTTTATATATTCATGTGACCTTATTTAAACAATGGCTTGTATTTTTCATTTAATTCCCAGTACATTTTACTGTTTTTAGCCAATTTCTTTCCACTGTGGGTTTCCTTCTCTGTAGCTGTTGGAGGTAGTTTTTATCTCTGATATACCTACAGATAACCTGACATTTATGAACGACGTTTATCCTTTTACAAAATCTATGAATTTCCCACCTGATTGTTCTCCTGATCAGACTCCTTCTCCTTCTCTTCCTCCTCTCTCCCTCCCCTCCACACGATGGCCTCAGTCTCGTACTCCTTGCGACACAAGTTGTGTCTATCAGACAAACTAGCACGCCGGACCACTTTTCTATAAACACAGGTGAAGTTATAAAGAATATAAAACAGAATAATATATTTATCTTCCATCTTGATTAAAACCGTTTTGCAGCAGACTGGGAACCAGCAGATGGCAGCACCTACCCACGGCTGCCAGCGCTGGAGGTTCGCCTGCAAAGTGAGGTCTTGTGTTTGAGCTGAGACTTCATGATGGTGTCGTGCTTGTGTTTCAGGTCCAGCAGGATGGCTCGGAACTCCTCATCCTCACACAGATCTCAAGGAACAAGAAAATGGTAGGTTAGCTCCCATGGTCTCTCATACCATGGGATGAGAGACTTATTTAGTCTCATGCAGATAACATATTAAAACAAAAACCTAACATAGATAATTTTCCTAGGATTTATTTTTTTTTTCAATCCAGCCTACAGTGGTAATGAACCCTTTATCTCAAATAAAACTGAGCCCCACAGAGATGATTGGTCTTCTTTACAATACCTATTGGAGTCTCTTCTAGGAAGGTCTTGGCATTGAGACTGGCTCCGTGCGAAACCAGCAGCTCTGCCACATGCATCTGAAACAAAGACCCCAAGAATAAATGAAACTGCTGGTTAAGCGTGCATGCTCATTTTTTAAATCCTACTGCTGTGTTTGCCTTACCTGACCCCAGCACGCTGCAGCATGAAGAGGTTGCCATCCATCTGAGTCTCTAAGGTCCACTCGAGCGCTCCCCTCCAACAGTAGGAGCTCTGCAGCCTGCACGTAGCCATTGGCTGCTGCTATGTGGAGCTGCACAAAGCACGGATGATGAATAGATGAGTGATTTGTTTATACAGTTGATTTTGCTCTAGTATACTGTAGGTTTTTCATGCAAAAGGAAATGTAGCATTATGATCATTAAAAGAATAACTTCTGAAGAGGAAACACCTGTTTGTGAGTTTGACTGCAACTTAGATCTAAAGCAAACTCTTAAGGCCTTACAATCAATGTGTAAGGTGAGGAAAAACAAACCAGTCACTGTAAGGAAATGATCTGCTGCCTTTATGTTCCCCACTTGCCTGCTTGCAACGAGGAATAACTTATAAATGGGAAATGGTTTTATGTGGATATTGGCACTCTGACCATCCATTAAAACAGCTCAATGAAAACGCATATTGAAGGGAAGCAGTTAAAGCAAAGAGGTTTTTCTCCACAAAATGTGTTTTCATAAAGAAACCTTTTCTGATTAGAGTCGTAAATATTGCATTTTAAGTTTTTACTTTTTGGTATTTTGTGACCGCTTTCAGTACGCTTCACTAATAGAAAATATGTATTTCACCAGGATGCAGATTTCAGCCTGAGATTTTATGTACTGTAGTTGTACTTTAACGACTGTAACTATCTAGAAACTGGAATAGGTGTCAGTCTTCAAATATATGAAGTACTGAAGGCTGATGTACAAGGTGTTTGTCATCACTATATTAGAGAGCTGTACTGAACAAAATTTGTTTTTATACACACTCTGTGTATACCAAATAATAATAAAGTCTAAGTCATATACTCTTTGTTGTTACATTTAGAACATAACTTTTATAGAGAAATCAAGAAATCCGATACTGACTTCTTGATAATTTTGCCTCCTGGGTCTGATTAATTTTGCTCTGAGCTGCCTTGACTTTGGACCAACTGATCTCAAACCTATAAGTTATATTTTTCTACTTAGTGAATTCATCAGTAAACTTTGTCAATGTGTCTCCAGGTTGAATTGACAACAGCTCTCTTATAGTTGGACATTTTTGATGATTGAAGCAGACTCAAGATTGAATATTCTTCACATCGCTTGAAAAGCTTTGTGAAAGGAAATACTTTATAGAAAATGTTTTAACATGTCTTGTGATCCATTTCAACTCTTCAAGCCACTGCCATGAGTAGCCACGATTACATGGAAACAAATTATCGGATTGAAGGGCTGATCAGATCAAAAATGTGTTATGTTTGACTGAAGATTCGAATGCGATTCGGGGCGATCGGAAAGACATTTCCTTCTGACTGAGAGAGGTGGATTTTCCCGATCTCCATTCTGATTGGTGGCCATGCACACACCCATATAGATCTTTAAAGTAAAATAATCTCCTCTGTGCATGCGTGCCATCAGAGTCATCATTTTATCTTCACTAACCCTCATTCACTGGCTTCTGGTTTTCCTTGGTTGAGGAGGTGGCTCTAAATGTAATGTGGGGATGAATATGCCATCCTGCTCTCTACCCCTTTAGCAAAGAAGCATAAGAATAAGATACTCCTGAGCCCTTTACCGAATTCAAATTACCACCAACAACAAAAGTATGATGCTACGAAAGTCCATAGTGGAAAAAAACAACAACATATCAACAGACTCTACTGAAGAACTAAAGAAAAAGAAATGTGTGGGGCAGGCAGAGAGAGCAGCTAAAGTTGAGGAAGAGCAGATGACAATCGTGGGTAAGGCGCCATCTACTTGCTGGTGAAGATTCTCAGTCATCCAGGCCATGGTCCTTCCAAAAAAGTAAAAAAAAAAACAAAGAACTAACCACTGGACTTTGTTTCCAAGTTTAAAGATGTTTCGCTTCCCATCCAGGAAGCTTTTTCAATTCAAATGTCATTGTCGCTTTACATTGTCCTCCCCTCATATCAAATTGAAAAAAAAAAACTTTGGCAAACTTTGCAAAAAGCTCTCTGAGATTTAACTTTCACTTACTTTACCCAGTTGTAAAATATTTCACAGTCTTTGTTGTTGCTGTGTTTTCTTTTCTTTAAACTTTGTATAAATTCCATCTTGTATTAAAATGCATTACCTGTTCTGTTTTAAGAGCATTGTGTGCAGGTTGTTCATGCTGTGGGGCGCTGGGGCAGCTCTGTGACAATGACTCCACCTCTGCTTTCTTTGCATTTAGGAAAAATGCCTGTGATTTTTATTTATTTTTTGTCAGCTGCAGGGACATTTTATCAAACTGTGAGACAGAAGTTAAAAATGTTCCCCGGTCGTGCACAAATTGAGATATTTTGTCAACTTAGACGATATTAGATGTTAGATTTGCAAATGTTGATTGCTTTTTTTAAAATCCAAGAGTAAAGGTTGAGATCTAAATAAATAAATAAAAAGTTCTAGTGAAGATAATTGTGCCTGCAACTCAAAAACATATGATGCTAAAGAAAGTTTAAACTAACCACTCTGTTTTTCTAAACGCATGAGGTGAAAACTGCTTTCAACTTTTGGCCCTTTAAAAAAATATCTATGCATGCATTTCTTTTTTTCATGGAACAAGATTGTAATAATGCAAACTGTACAGGCTGGGTTATTTTTAATAAACCTGAATTTGGATCTATTTTAGTTTTGATAATATAATTGGAATCTTATTTTTGTTTTCCTGTTACAGGTTGACTCGGCATGTCTTCCCCTGCAGACGGACTCACCTTCACATGAACAAGATTAGCTCGTATTCTTGAAGCTAACAGGGACTTATAGTATCTCTGCATTGGGGTGCAGGTGTGTTTAAAAAGGTCATAACTCTGTTTAAGTCTGCAAACAGTTTTTTGAATAAAAGTACTTGACATATTCAGATAAACAAGTCTGTACTAATCAGCGGAGGGAAAAAGTCCTTATACTTCATTCAGTTTATGGATCATGCTTTTGGATTTATAATGAGAGTAGATGTAGCCCAAAGCAACTAAATGAAATTTAGTTGCTTTGTGCTAAGATGTATATGAAATAGAAGCAAGTTATTTTTTGGAGGAGATGCATTTAAAAATCTGGGCTAAGGTTATCCAGAAAACTAAAACAGCAATTGGTGCCAGACCTCACTTTTAGCACAAAATACAAGAAAAAAAAAAAGGGTCAAATTGAGAAATACTACATAGTGGAAAAGAGCAAACAGAAGCTTGTGAGGAATGTTGGAGGTCACTCAGTTCATGGAGGGCTGATCTCTGTCTGGTTTCAGGATTAATGGCTGATTCAACGAATCACTGAGACCCTCTGCTTCAGGACAGAGTTTCAGTGAGAGTTTATTATTGAAGGTAATGGAGGATATAGTATGTTTGTTATGGACTGTACTGAAAAAAATCAGCTCCAAACAGATGATCATAGTGGCTTTGATTACTTTCACTCGGATCCAGATGAGGGAATCTCAAGATGAAGTCATTATTATTCCTATCAAAAGCTAAAAATTAAGGATGATTTTATGAAAAGTACTGATTACCATTTTCTTGGTCTATCGTCCTAAACCCACAGCTAGTAGCAGAATATTGGGCAGCTACACTGAGCCTGGTTTTACTGCAGTATTTCTTGTTTCCTTTTTAATGTTACCGCATGCTTGCTCACGGCTAGTAATTATAAAGGATGTGTAAAAATTTTACCAACAGGCATTGAATTGTTGATCAAATTTAATTGTAAAACAATATTATTTAGATTTATGGCAAAATATTTACCAGATCTGTTAGAATGGCTTGGTTTTAAATCACCCTAGACTGATTTGATTTGAGTTGAAATTGTTTAGAAATCAAACCCGTTTATCCATGAAAGTATTCTGGATGAGTTGGTTAACTTTTACAAAAAAAAAACAAACAAACAGATTTAGATTAAACTAAGTAGCAAAGAGAAGTTAATATGTTGAATTATGTTTCAAAAACAGCAAACTAGGGCTTTCCAACGTACTTTTATAAAAGCAACAATGAAGAATTTTAAATTAAAAATAATGGCCTGGTATCGTTTTTTTCTAACTAGTCCTTTCCCCTAACATGTCAGGTCACAGGTTTGGGACGTCACTGCTTGTGCACATCAAAACACAAGCAGACTAAATGAATTTAGCTGGAAAAACAAAAGATTACTGTTATACAACAGCCTAACCAGTTCCAGGTTTTTCCCAATCATCCTTGCCAGTGATTTTAATAAGGCATGCTCCATTTTGCTTCATCATGCTCAAACAAAGATTAACAGGACGCAGAAATCAAAGGGACGACGGTTCCAACAGACAATCTGTAATGAGCATAAAAAGCTTAACAAGATTATTTCAGGATACCTCCAACCTTTCGCTATTTTCAGCCAAATTCACCATATGTCCACATTGAAGCTAAATCACATAATAAAGTCCAATTAACAAACGTCTTTCCTTATATTAGACTATCTATCCCATAATGACACATCAAACGTTACACATTCCACCCTATGGAAAGCTTCAAAAGCTGTTACACAGGGCCATGTCATAGCCTATGAAGTGAAGCTGAAAAAAAAAACCTTGAAAGAGGCTTCCACCAGACTCCCTTATCTTCTAAACTGAACAAGATTATGAAACTGCTAATCAAAATATAACACTATTCTCTCCTACCAAGTGAGTACTGTACTATTAAAGGTTAAAAAATAAGAAGCATTTTGAACTATATTACAAGCCAGACAAACTATTAGCCCGTCAGCTCAGAAGCATACTGGCTAAGCGAAGAATTAATAAAATCAAGACACAAATGGGTACCTTCACTACAGAGCCAAAAGAGATTAATAAATGTTTGTAGATGGCAAGCAAATTTCTAACTTCCTTCATTCAACGTTCCTTTCCCAACGGAAAAGTGGTTTCTGCCAGACGGCTTTAACATAGACTTTGACAAAGCAGATTCAGACGAAACAGCTCCTGTTATTTAACGGATGCTCAACCACTCCTTCGCTACTGCATTTATCACAGGGAGATTCTCTTTTTTCAATGTTACATGGTGGATGAATAAAATGTATGCCAGATATAACAAAGACTCCAAAATCTCTGTTTGAACTGTTGCGATAAATATTTGGA